ACCTACAGCGGGTCAATTAGTTCTTCAAATAATAATGCTAATGTATTGATATTTTTCTAGTTTTGATTTAAGTTTGCTTGTTTAGCGTCGTCACAGTTGCTAGGTGACATGACGTACGCCGGGGTAAGGAGGGGAGGCTAGACCGTCCAAATCCATAGCCTCTTTTTTTCCGGTCTTCCCGGTCTACCAAGGACCCGGCCCTCCGAGACCGGGGAGTCTGGGTCCTCCGGAGGACACGGCCTGTCGTTTTGGACACAGCCAGCGTTGCTATATCAAGTAACAACAGACTGCAGAGAAAAATCTGATGTTTCTTTAGATTATTTTGAGTCTTTATCAGAGATGAAGAGTTCAAATGACATTGTTTCAATAAACAAAGTTCATTTTCTTTGAAAGTTCCCTTTGATGTCACTTCCTGTTTCACTTTAACTGAGCCAAATTAAAATAAATACAGTATATACTGGTTATGTGACAAACTGTGTAAAATCATGTGTATTATGCAATATTTCTTTAAGATAATCTTTTATGATAAATAAGATTCAATTTTAATGAAACCATCATGTCTGGTTCCGGTCCTCAAGGGCCGCTATCTAGCATATTTTAGAGGTTTCTCTGCTTTAACCCAGCTGATTTGGATGAACGGGTGATTCTGCAGAACATGAAGAGGTAATTCAGCCAATCAAGTGTTTTGGAGCAAAGAAACAAAAGTAAAACCTGCAGGATTGTAGCCCTCCAGGACGCCTGTTTAAAACTAACATTTTGTGGAATCTCATGTTGTATCTAACACGTCAAGGATGACAGAGCTGCAGATTTGAGCTCAGCAGCTGTTTCCTTTGTGCTGCTGAGGTGTGGAACCACTCTGAAGGTGGAGCAGGACCACAGCCAGCGTTTCATGTTGAGATTACATCCTGTCGTTTGCTGCAGACCAGCCCCTCGTTAGCGTTTGTGATGGATGCTCCACATTCTTCCCTCAGATGAAACACCACCCCTCTGCCTGCAGGCTGAAGCCCCTCAGCCTCCAACATCTGTCCTGTCAGACAGAGACCTCCAGCCCTCCGGCTCTGTTTTTAAACTTCACCTTCCCTGTTTCTCCTCTCTGATCCGATGACTCTCAGGCGATCGTGTCTTTATTCACCAGTCAGMCTCCGCACTGCAAAAACTGTCCATCTTACCAAGTTTTTAAATCTTACATCCAGCCAAAAAGTCTTTTTGATCTTGTTTTGAGACTGATTTACTAAACAAGAACTGATTGTGTAAGAATA